GTTGGTTCCGAGGTAATTGCACTGTGATTATCTGGTTCTTCATCTTCATCATCTGATTGTTGTATGTTCGGATCTGGTAAGCTAGTTACAAATTGAGTTTTTTTGGAAGTCGGCGTGGAGTTGTTCGCGATAGTGTCCGTAAGGGTCACTTCGAGCGGATATAGATGTGCGATAGAACGGACTAGGGTTCGTCCGGTTGCTAATTTGATTCGAGCTGTCCGAATCGCATGTCCCGAACCTTCTGGCGTTTCGACGATTCGAGCTAGTCGCCACATGCAACGAGGACGGTTTTGCTCGTTCAGTAGAACAACTTCTCCTATTCTAGGAGTGCGACGTTCTTGGGCGTATGGTCCTTTATGGAGCTGTTGTTCACGCTCTCGAAGAAGTTGGAGATATTCTCGTGACCAGATTATCCAGAACTTGTTCCGATACTCTTCTGATTTTCGCCATTCGTCTAGGAACTGCTGACGTGTAGATGGAGGGTGTGGGTTAAATTCAGCTTCCATTTCAGCATTTTCTTTCATACTGAGGGCTAACTGTGCTCGTGGTCGGAGATAGTCGCTTGAACTTGCGTCGTATACGATACGTAATTTGCGTTTTTGTTCATTCCATACTGCTTGATGAGGAATGTAATGAATCTGGGGTACTGATGGTTGGAGTGGAGCTCGTTCTATGATTGATGAATCGAGTTGTTGTTGAATAAGTTTTTGGTAGTTGATTCTTTGTTCGGGGTTCGCAGATAGCGTTCGTAGTAAGGATTGAAGTCTTCCGACACATAGACCAAAATTTATGGAGAGGTCGGGTTGTGTGGTTTTCCATGGCCAAAAAACGCTATAGCGGCCGTTAGGCAGTCGTTGAATTGAGGAATCAAATTGGTTCATAGCATGCTGATCGTCAGTTACAGATCCATCATTCAATGTAATTCCTAACGCATCAAGTGACCATAAGTCCTCAACTGATAAGGTAACATTGCCTACCAGAACCGCGTTGACTTGACTGCTATGTTTGCGACGATAAGTAGTCGGAACTCGGCCAGCACCACCAATGATTGGTCCAATTGTAGAGTCGTATAGAGTGAAGCCACATCGAAGCTGCTTGATTGCGTGTAAG